AACAGTCTTCCCTTGTTGTGTGTTGTGGATAATTTAGAGTAAAAAAAATGTAAATAGTTTAGGTAAAAAAACTCAATTTTGTCATAATTTGAGACAACAGTCTTCCCTTGTTGTGTGTTGTGAATAACTTAGAGTAAAAAAAATGAAATAATTCAGGTAAAAAAAACTCAATTAAAACATACTGATACATCAAATTCAGTATAAAATAAAACATATTTTTTACAACTAATAACAAATAAAAAAACGGATCAGTTTCTTCTATATTTTTGGTAAACATTTTCTCTTTTCCAAATTCAAATGATTTGACGGAGTGACACGTGACTCTCACCGTGGCGGCGCGCCCCTTTGATGTGGAGCACGTGATCAGTCGCGGCCCCTCGAGGCTCTTTCACTGGTCGCGCACACGTTCACCACATTTAGACTAATTAGCTGCTAGCAGACCTCATAAATATGACATTTCATGTCAGCCAGCGGTCGTTAATGTGACTTTTCTTATAGTCTGTCTCCCCATAAAATGGCGTTTTCCCTGGTGAGTCGAAAAATAAGTTAAATTAAGCGGAGGGCCCAAATTTTAAGGGATGCCTCTTGACCTTTAGCGTGCCATGAACCGACTAGCGACCCATCCTTTTTTTGTTGTTGTTTTTTTTTATGTGTTTTTATCCAAATTCCCAACTTAAACACCCTAAACTGAGACGTGTAAAACGACGCTTTGAGTGTACAGCATCAATATCAATTCGAAAATGAACTTGACTTTTTTGGAGGGGTTTGCTCTCCTTTTTTTTGTATTTTTGTATTATTTTTTTTGTCTCTTTTCCAGAGAAACGATGCTCGCAGGCCAGAGACCCCGGACCCCGAGTCTCCGGCCCTTTCCACCTGCAGCAACGCGGATATCTTCCGCAGGATGAACACCATGTTGGGCAACGCGCTGGACTTCACCGGGGTGTGCACCACCCCCAACACCAACAAGCCCAAGGCGGACCTGCTGTGTGGTAAAGCTCCTACTTTCATATCTGGCCTCCAAACGCACCAGTATTGGGATTAGGATAATGGGGTTCCTCAGTTTACCTGCACATACCTTTTATGTTTATGTTTATGTTTATGTTTATGCATTTGGCAGACGCTTTTATCCAAAGCGACTTACAGAGTAGACACAATATTACATTTCTCATCACAATGACAATAAACTTTATAGAACAGAAACACTGATCAGAGTCAGTGGTGAGATAGAGATAGAGGTAGAGGGGCTACAGAAGGAGCTGTGGGGGGGGTAGAGGTACGGGTTAGGGTTAGGATAGGAGATGCTCTTTGAAGAGGTGGGTCTTCAAGAGTTTCTTGAAAACAGACAGGGACTCTGCTGTTCTTGTGGAGCTTGGTAGGTCGTTCCACCATCTTGGAACGACACATGCAAACAGTCTGGATTGTCTTAAGCGTGGTGAAGGCACTGCTAGACGACAATCCATTGATGACCGGAGTGATCGAGTTGTGACATAAGCCTTTGCAAGGGGATTCAAGTAGATGGGAGCCATACCCTTAAGCACTTTGTAGGCTAGCATCAGGGACTTGAATTTGATACGGGCAGCCAGAGGTAACCAGTGGAGTTCAATGAACATACCTGCTTGTTTGAAACTGAAACACTGTCCAGAAGGGCTAGCATCTGTTTATATGATATAAATAATGATATAAATATAGTATAAATAATTTCCCTTTTGGATTATTAAAGTATTTCGGTTTATGGATGGCCTTGTATGCTGGTGCACCAACACCAACAAGCCCAAGGCGGACCTGCTGTGTGGTAAAGCTCCTACTTTCATAACTGGCCTCTAAACGCATCATTATTGGGCTTAGGATAATGGGGTACCTCAGTTTACCTGCACATACCTGCTTGTTTGAGACTGAAACACTGTCCAGAAGGGCTAGCATCTGTTTATATGATGTAAATAATGATATAAATATAGTATGAATAATTTCCCTCTGGGATTATTAAAGTATTTCTGTTTATGGATGGCCTTGTATGCTGGTGCACCAACAAGCCCAAGGCGGACCTGCTGTGTGGTAAAGCACCCAAAGCTCCTTATTTTCATATCCGTCCTCCAAACGCACCATTATTGGGCTTAGAATAATGGGGTTCCTCAGTTTACCTGCACATACCTGCTTATTTGAGACTGAAACACTGTCCAGAAGGGCTAACATCTATTTATATAATATAAATATAAGTATTTCTAATTATGGATGGCCCTGTATGTTGGCAAATGTCATGGCTCTAAGTTAGTCCTACTAGTAAATGTAGCTATACTACATTTTTGCAAATGTCCTTGTTGGTTTAAGCTCTAACTAAAAGGCTCCTACTCCTATCACTACTCCTTATTTTAGACCTATATACATATAGTTATGTGTATATATGTATGTATATCATGTGGAATTTTGTGTGTGTGTATATATGGAGATATGCATATGCTGTTTTATTTATGGAGCTAGTAACAAAAATTTTCCTCTGGGATTATTAAAGTATTTCTGTTTATGGATGGCCTTGTATTCTGACAAATGTGATGGCTCTAAGTTAGTCCTACTAGTAAATGTAGTAATACTACATTTTTGCAAACGTCCTTGTTGGTTTAAGATCTAACTAAAAGGCTCCTACTCCTATCACTACTACTTATTTTAGACCTATATATATATATATATATACATATAGTTATGTATATATGTATGTATATCCTGTGTGGAATTTTGTGTGTGCATGTGGATAGATAGATAGATAGATAGATAGATAGATAGATAGATAGATATGTGTTTGTATAGACATGTATATATGTATGTTTTATTTATGGAACTAGTACCAAAAATAATCTCCCTCTGGGATTAAAGTATTTCTTATTGTCATGGCACTAAATTGGAAACTTGGAAGCTAAACTCCCTTAACTGAGTTGAGCTTGATGTAACCTGTGCTGTAATATAAGGGCTTTCTTACAAAGTACTCCCCACTCTTATTTTTGGCTTTAAATCAAGGTAAAAGCTCCTGTTTCCTATAAACTTCCATTTCCCACAAATCCAGAATGTGGCCTCTCATTAACTCCACTGTAACGTAGTATAACTCCACACTTGATGTTTAAAACAAGGAGCAGTTTGAGCTTAAAAGTTAGTTTTTATTACATTTTTAAATTTTCTTTAGGTGTCTCTTAACTTTCTAATGTCCGTTAACCCTCCTCCTTGTCATCGTCGTTATGCTGCCAGCAGCTGATTCATGCTGCATCTCCGTTTGCAGCATTGCAGCAATTCATAGTGTTCGTTTTTTTATTTATTTATTTTTTTTAACCTCTGGAGCAACATTTGCCAAGAAACGGGAGCTCGGCATGGTGCCTGCGTCCCGTTTCTGAATAGTTAATTTGACTCCTTTTAGCTACCGCAAAGTTTAGCACTGCAGCAGAACGGCTTCGTAACTTCGGAGGGAGGAAAAGTCGGTTTGATCTTGACGCAGGCGTCCAGATCGGCCTTTTTCCTCGTCCAATCGGGGACGATGTTGCTGAATCAGAGCTGGAAACTATCCAGGGTTAGGCCTGGGGGGGGAGAAAGAGGGGGGAGGGAGAGAGAGAAAGAGAGAAAGAAAGAGGGGAGGGACTGGTGGTGCAAGTCTGCTCTGTCCTCAACATCTGATCAGTCAGCTGCTTCTGTCCCTGCATGTTTCTCCTTTTATTTTATCCACCGTCTGTGTTCAGAAACGGAGGAAAAAAAAATAAATCAATTTCACAAACCACCGATTGTTAGACGAAAAAGAGAAAAAAACAAAAAAAAATCACTGAGTCTGACATACTTTTAAGCTGAAGTCTGCTGAGTCATTCTCTCTCCTCTCTCCCCCTCCCTCTGTCGGCTCGCTCGGGGTGGGAAAAAAATAAAAATAACCGAGAAGCAGAAAAGGAAAAAAGCGGAAAGCAGAAAAAGGAAAAAAAAAAGCGGAAAGCAGAAAAAGCGGCAGCTATCGTTCCACTGACTCAGACCAGAGAGGGAAGCTCCACCAGCCAATAGCTCCGACAGGAATTTTTCATTACACAGTTGTTAGGCAGGGAAGCGGGGGGGCGGGGGAGAGGGGGGGGGGGGGGGGGGGGGGGGTGCTGATGTCATTAGCGGGGCTGTGCGAGTGCATCAGCAGCCATGTCACATGCTGCTAGGTGGGTCAGTGATGCGGACGGAGATGCATGGCAGTTGCACCGGGCACCGAGGCAGCAGGTTAGAGCTCAGTCTGCCGGGGGGGAAACGGGGGTAAATG